TCATGAAACCCTAATGTGTATTGGGTTCATCTTCTGAATGGCAAACCGAATATGTGTATACCATATGTATAGTTTTGACATGCCAAGTGTGGTTGTAAATGTTGAATTGCTATGTATTACTGTTTGGTGGGTTCTCGGTTTCCCCTATTCCAGGCACTATTCATCGTTTTCCTTTTGCTTATTATTTTGTTATTTTGGTTCTTGTGGCTTGTCCGAGCGCACTTTTGCATTTCCGAAACGTTTTAGAACGCGTGTAACCGCTCCGTAGTCCTGGCGAGAGCTGGGCAGGCAGTCCGCTAACCCCTTTGGTTCGCCTTAGGGGAAGGTGGGGCTGTTACAGGTGGTATCAGAGCCTGCTTCGCGTGGTCTCTGCGCGGAGTGAGCCTGGACTATGTGGTGAATTGGTATGAAGGAATAAGTGCTCGATCGAGCCTAAGTTCTGAATTGTGAATGTTATAGGCCTTAACTTTTCTTGTGGTATCTGAGGAACATAGATCGGTACGTCTGGTGGGAATTTCGATTGTAGATGGTTTACTCTTGGGACTGGCCAGCTCGAGAGGTGAATTGTCTTATTTCGGATTCTTGTGCCTGAGTACTTCAGAGTAGAGGCGGTGTTAAGTATGTGGAATTTGCATTTTGGGAACATGAATAGGCTTTGTTTGGCTAGAATGAGTCCAAGAGGTTATTGGATATCTAGTTTGCATAGTAAGTGACGTGAGGGATCGGACGGGGTTATTTTAATTGGGTCTAGGACTATATCGCCTTTACTCTTGATTTGCTTGATACCCCTATGACATGACAGTGGTTTGGGTATTGTGCATAGGATTATCTGTCTAATTGGCATGTGTTGGTGTACTTGGTTATCCGTTTTCTTGATACATGGCGTGTTATATGTGTATATGTCTTTGGTGTAATTGGTGTGCTAGAATTCGATTACTTTTGTCACTTTACTGTAGTTATGCGTTGCAGTACTGTGGGAAAGGGGAAAAAGAAAAGAGAGAGAAAAAAAATATATATATATATGTGAGGAAGATGTCGTCGTGGACGTGGAACTAAATGAGGCCAGGAATCAAGAAAAGAAAAGGGAAACAATAGCTGGACAAGGACCGGGAGTGCCACTTGTACTTAAGAATGTATTATGACCCATTGTTTTGCCCGGCAGGCTAGCATCCGAGTTCCAGCACTTCAGTAAGATGACACATTGGGTTGATCCGTATCAGGAAATTTTGGTTCTCCGAGATGAATTAGAGGTTCAAAGGAGGCTGACCGAGTACTGGGAAAGGCAATGGAAGCAAGAGTATTCGGAGAAACTTGAACTCTTACACCAAAATATGGAGTTAAAGAGGAAATACGAAGAGATTTCCAAGGAGACCGTAGCAATGGCACAAGGTAACACATCTATGGGAACGCCAGAGGAAGCTCAAAGGACGGGAATTGCAAAGCCACAACTGAAGATCTTTCATGCAAAGAAAAAGGGTAAAGCTGGTAGATCAATTGTGAAGAAGGGCCGTGGAGCGAGTGGTGAGATAATTTGTGGATATTGTAGAAAATCCAATCATATTGAAGTGGATTGCTGGAAAAAGGGGAGGAGATGTCTGTGTTGTGGGAGCGCCGAGCATTTGGTTGCTAATTGCCCGGGGGTTATTGCACGAAAAGAAAGGAACCAGCAGCCAACCAAGACCGACCCTGGCCCGTCAAGTGGAAAAGGGACTAAAATGAAGAACCTTATTTCTTCTGACTCTGAAGACGGAGAAGGTACAGGCCATTGGTTACTTTAAATTGGGAAGGTAAAATTTCGAGGGCGAAATTTCTTTAAGGGGGAGAGAGTGTGAGAACCCGTAATTTTTCCATTTTCTAGGTTTTATTATATTTCCAGGTTTTCTTATTTTCAATGGTTTGTTTTCTGCACTTTCTGTATCCGGAAAATTTTCTAGATAATTTTTATGAGTAAATATAAGTTTTATATGATTTTTCCTAGCATTGGGTAGTTTTTGAAAATTAAGGATATAGAAAGGAAGTGGGACCCACTAGTGCGGAAAGTTCGGAAAAAATTCGGCCAATAAGGTTAAGTTTCGGATACTGTGTAAAATTTATCGGGTGTTAATAGATAAGTAGAGGAGTGTGAAGTGATTGATGTGAGAGGTGACTAAAGGATTGAATTGCATTTAATGAGATGCCATGTGTCATTTTCCCATTGGTTAGGACTTAAGACTACTATTCATGGTTTTGACCTTTTGACTTATGGAGTAAATATCTTCAAAAATTCACAAAAAATAACCATTTTTCATTCTATGTTGGCCGACTCTTGAGAGCTCAAGAAGGAAGAAACTTGCTTCAAATTTCAAGCTCCCAACTAGCTCAATCTTCCAAACTATTTGCCTAAATTAGTTTTTACTCCATAAAATCCTTCCACTTGGTGTTAGTGAGTGTTTTGGTGAAGCTTTTTGGAGAACTTAAGGTGTCCAACATCTTCCTCTCTCTTGTTTACTTGGTAAGTGATGATTGAACATTTTCTTATAGCTAATGATGTTGAATTTATGCCTAATGGTGGCTATTGTGTTAGAAATTGTGGATTATTTCTTGGTTTGAAGTGATTTGGTTGAGTTTTTTATTTTTTGAGGAATTTTCTGGTTTCATATGATCTTGATGGTGTGATTGTTTTTGATGGTTGGTAATAAGGGGCTTTGGCTCTAGTAGGTGCATATGATAGAAAATTGCAATCAATTTTGGATTTGGAAGAATTTCTGGAAAATTAGGGTTCTTGGTTGAACATTCTGTCCGAAATTTTAGGTCATAGATAGAGGCCGAATTGGACTTTGCTCAAAACATGAAAGTTGTAGCTATTGATGAGTTTGAAGTGCCTGCAAAATTTCAGGGCATTTGGAGTAGTGTAGAGTGAGTTATGCCGTTTTTACTGTTGCTGTTCTGGGTGAACAGAATGTGCGAACTGCGATAGTAATTGTCTGTTTTGACTGGAATTGGTTTGGATTTTGTTGTGGGTGTCTTCTGATGAAATGTATCTTGATGTCTTAGCTTTCATGTGCCTTTGGAATCAATGCATTTGGACCTGTGTAGGCTGAGATAGACGTATTCCAGTTTTGTGTGATTTGGGAACCTGCAATTACGGTTCTGGCTTGGTTTTCTGCAATTTTGACCTAGTTGTGCTAGGATTTGGACTAGTGACCTTCTACATTGTTGTAGCTCTGTCTTTTAGCTTCGAGATGGTGGGTCTTACACCCTCATCCGATAAGCGTATTGCATTTTGTACCATTACCGCATACGGAGGCCAAAACTGTTTTTGTTGATTGATCAAATGAGTTATATTTCCTGATTTTCTGGTTTGCTATTATGCTTATATATGTATATGAAACCCTATTGGGGTTGTGATTGGCATGGCTTTATGAAACCCTATTGGTTGGCATGGTTTTAAGGCTTACTCTTATTCGGGTCATTTTCTAGCTAACTTTTGTACTTGTACTACTTTGAGCCTAGTGAACGGCTTTTGGGAATGAGATGACTTTTGTGTGAGGTGTTGGGACTGATTTGAGGAAATAATGAAGCCTTAATGGCTGGAAAAGTAAGAAATTTAGGGGAAGTGCTGCCCGATTTTCTAGGCCGTTTGGTTCTTTAAGTTGGATTTGCCTTTTGATGGAAATGAAGGGCTTTTGGGTTGTTTGCGCCTAGGTTTTGATGTTATCTTTTTGTTTTCAAGAAAATCATATTTTTGCACCCTTGCATTAGTATGTCTCACTTGTGCATTCCGTTTATTCGATTTTAGATATGAAACCTTCAATTGGTTTATTTTGATTATTTTAGGGTTTCTTGGCGATTAAGGCCAATCTGAAGTGAAACTATTGAAGTTGAATCGGTGAGTGTACCACTTCCTGCTACCCTTTATGTGAAATATCTGAATATCTGAATACTTGACTTATGACTATTGAAGCCAAGTACTGCTTTGATAAAGTGGAGGCGAGGGTGTACTTTATCACACTCGTTCTCTGGTCTGTTCATATTCCAATTCTGAACGTCTATCTGAATCTGTTATCTGTATCTGTATCTGAAACTGTACTGAATCTGTTATCTGTGTCTGAAACTGTATCTGTTCTGACGTCGTTTGGAAGCTTGTGTCCAACGACCTTTTTGTGACCTATGAGCTCAAATCCTGTGGCTAAGTTATTCAAGTCGGGCCGGCAAGGGCCTGGACGATTAGATAACGAACCACGGTAGTCTGTTCGGGGATCTTTGGGTATTGAGACCCTTGAGTTCCGGTATACTCGAGTATTACCATTTCTGTTACTGATACGGTGAGCGGGCCCGGTAAAGGGGTGTTTGGTGGACGGAATTTGGAGTGAAGAGGGGTCTACGGACGCTTTGGTTCTATATACGTTGACGGAGGGTCAACCGGTCTGGATCAAGTACTGCGCTGGAAATTTGGCTCCTGAGAGCCACCCGTATCCTTCTGATTTGAATCAGTGGTTCCGCTGCTTTATATCTGGCATGTGTATCTGATTTGTTAAACATGAAATGCCATGATTTTATTGCTATCTGTTTGGTACCTCATTGAGCGCAAGCTCACCCCTTTCTGTTCCCTTTTGTTTTCCTTACAGGAAATAATCACTTTTGGGAGCTCATACGTGTTGGTTGCCAAATTGAGCCATGTATATGTCTATTTTGAATAACTCATTTCATGAAACCCTAATGTGTATTGGGTTCATCTTCTGAATGGCAAACCGAATATGTGTATACCATATGTATAGTTTTGACATGCCAAGTGTGGTTGTAAATGTTGAATTGCTATGTATTACTGTTTGGTGGGTTCTCGGTTTCCCCTATTCCAGGCACTATTCATCGTTTTCCTTTTGCTTATTATTTTGTTATTTTGGTTCTTGTGGCTTGTCCGAGCGCACTTTTGCATTTCCGAAACGTTTTAGAACGCGTGTAACCGCTCCGTAGTCCTGGCGAGAGCTGGGCAGGCAGTCCGCTAACCCCTTTGGTTCGCCTTAGGGGAAGGTGGGGCTGTTACACTTTGAATCAGTGCCTTCGTAGGACAGATCAAGAACTGTATTTAGGTGAGAGGGATTGCGTAAGCTATCATAGAGTGGGGATGAGGAGTCTTTGAAAATGGCTGGCAGAAACATCCCAGGTGGATTGTCCCAGTTCCAAAAGGGAAGTGCAAAAGTATCGTCATCGACCATGTTTTGGCATATCTTCTCGACGAAATACAAGTACCATCTGTGAAAGGGAAAGAAGAGCCATGAGTTGTGAACATCCAATAGAAGTTTAGAATCTGCATAGCCATCTTGATAGTATCCACCGTTACAATATGCACAATGCACATTTGCTTGTGCAGTGAAACTACGTGGATCATCCGAACTTAGATTCCTCATTTTCTCTATGGCCGTCTTGTACTTTTTCAAATAAGTCGAGTCGACTAGTTGCGCCGCAGGTCCAGTGGCGATGACAGAAGGAGCAGTAGGAACAAAATCAGTGATATCCGCGGCCGTGGCCGAGGGTGGACAGCAGTCGATTTCTTTTTTGTCGGGGTCAGTGGCATCGTGACAGGCTGTGAATGTTGGAGATAGTGGTGCTGCCAAGGCTGATGGATTGGCACCAAAAGTGGAGGCACCATAGAGCCCTCCTCCAATGCCAAGTAGCACATTTCTTCTATCAAGCTTCAGTAAAGAAGTTTCTCCATTTTTGGAGCCGGCAATGTCATGATCACTGGAGTTTTGGTCACCTTTTGTGGCATTGCATGTAAGTTTTGGGCCTGTTTTGCGATTTGGGTGAGTGGGTTTTGCAAGTGAGATGAAATGTGCTATGGAGGAGGAATTGGCAAGGTTGGAGGAGAGAGTTGGCATGGTAAGAGAAGCCATGGCCTAGATATTGAGCAAGTTATGCCGCGTGTACTATGCATGCTGTGCTGCCTCAACCTATGCTTTATATAGTGGACTTGAGCTTCGTAGCGTGATCAGATTAAGGTAGAAACCTATCATATCTAACTGGTTGATTGATGAAACCAAGCTTTAAGGTTTATAAATTGTTGGGTCTTTAGGGTTATACGATTTTCTATTCACGAGAAGGTTGGCAATTAAAAATCGAATTACATCTTAAGCGTGAATATATAGTACCATTGTTAATTTGCTCTTTTGTACGCTGGTTGTTGTGTCGCATCCAGGGCCCTATGTCTTGTTGCATTTTTATAATGGCTGTTTACATAGGGGACATGGAATGGTGGGATCAATACTAGGTATATTGGGGAGGAATCAATTGGGTCGGTTGTTGACATTGAGGCAGAAAACTAGTTGCCTAGTACTGTGTTTGGCTGGCGTCATGGCAATAACGGATACCCCCTGCCTAGAGTATCCAAACAATGTCCAAAATGAAAGTGATTTCTACTCGGAATATATTGGAAATTAGTTAAATTTTTAGATTTAAATCTTAACAACAACATATAATCTACAAGTTGTTGTGCCATGTTTGATAGGACTTTGGCTTGTAATTTGATTTTTAGTTTGACAGGTTTTTATCTTCTGTAACAAGTATATTTGTAGGGCAACTTCTATATAAACTCTCATCAATGTTGATAATGTTGGTACACCATGAATAAAAGTACTTTTTTCTAAAATTTATAAGAATACCCTTCCACTCAAAATAGTAAGGAAAAAAAATTGTGATGTCACTATCTGTTATACAAGTCATAATGAAATATTTGTTTATTTTTTAAATTTTTATATATATAATCAATATTTAGATGTTAGATTAGAATAAAATTTGCACAAAATTGACTTCGTTTCAAATATTTCAATCTTAATATTTGTTGAATTCCACCATACATACATAAGTACACACGTATATGTATGTATATATATGTATAGGCACACACACACACACACACACACACACACACATATATATATATATATATTTCAAAATCTTGAATAATTAGCGACATAAATCATAAATTAAACGAAATCAGACATTCATATTCTCTATCTGTCGTACTTTTGCTGTTTATCTGAAATTCATGTAAATTCTCATATACCCACTTGTTCATGGGAAAGGTGTCCAGAATCGGACCAGATCTTATACGCGAACAATTTCTAATTTTGCCAAAAAAAATTCCAGCGAATTATTCTTAACTAGATTGCTCCCTTGTACTATGTGGAGTTAAAAAAAATAAGCACCTTTCAACCGCAACGGTTTCAGCTTTGCGGGATCCCATTTAACTGTTGATTAGTTCCCATACTGATTAATTGACTTCAAATTCTCTGTTTCCAAAGTAGTCTTTGTCCCCTCTGTCCCTTATTTGTATAACTGCCACGTGTCTCTAGACTTTTGTTACTCAAGTTTACTCAAGTTAGTGCCTGTTTGATAACATAAAAAAGTGTTGAAACTGAATTCATTCAGACATTCAGATGTTGTGGGTGTTTGATAAATAAAAATTCACCTGCTGAACTTATTAAGTGGTGCTGAATTTGTATGTATTTTTTTCAGCACAAGAATCGTAGCTGAATGCTTAATTTGATAAGAATCAAGAGATTTACTTCAACTACTTTATCTTATCTACCAAATATATCCCTATTTGTTAATTACATTCAAAATCCTTATCTAATTAAACAACATAATATTCCCTATTCAAAATCCTTATCTAATTAAACAAAACAACCTGATATTCTCTATTCAAAAATTTTTTTAACAATAGTATTTTTTTTCAGTAATTTTCATCCACAAACATTTATATTTTGATATATATATTTTTTGTGCAGATAAATATTATTTATGTGATGTAGCTTATCCACACACACATGGCTTTATGACACCATATCAAAATATTAGATATTGATTGTCTGATTTTCGAAATGCTTCTCGTCCAAGATCAAAAGGATAACGCTTTAATCAAGCACATGCAAGATTGAGAGATGTAATTGAACGTGCTTTTGGAGTATTAAAAGCTCGTTTTCCCATTCTCAAAACGATGAAACCATACCCTTTTCCCACACAAAGAAACATTTTCATTGTATGCATTGCTCTTCACAATCATTGTCATTTTCATACCTAACAATTTTAAGTTAATTAAATCATATGTTCTATTTCCTTTTTGGATTAAAAGATAGAAGGGCAAAATTGTACAATTTAACTTATTAAACATTAAGTTATGAACATTTATCAAACAGTATAAATAGATTCAGCATTAAGATTCAGACATTCATATATCTCTTTTCAGTGCTTAAAATTCAGCAAATTAATTATTTCAGTATTCAGAATTCAGAATTCAGATTTAGTGTTATCAAACGAAGCCTTAGCCTTTGATAATAATCGGTTGACAAGTTTACTTAAAATTAATTAAAGCCTCATTAATAGTTTCGAATCATCTATCCCCAAAGTAGTCTCTATTTCCTCTGTCCCTTATTTGTATAGTTGCCACGTGTCCCTAGTATTTTGTTAACCCAAACTCAAATAAATCAATAATAATCGGTTTACAAGTTTACTCAAAATTAATTAAAACAGACAATTCAAAACTTTTTTTAATTTTCTTTTTAACAAAAAAGAGTCTTGTTGATTTGGGGTAAAAAATAAAGAAGAGTTTTAGTTGATTTCTATGTTTACGATCAACAAGACTCTTTTTTGTTAAAAAGAAAATAAAAAAAGTTTTGAGTTATCTGTTTTAATTGATTTTGAGTAAATTTGTAAACCGATTATTATCGATTTATTTGAGTTTGGGTTAACAAAAGGCTAGAGACACATGGTAACGGTGCAAATAAGGGATAGAGGGGACAGAGACTACTTTGAGGATAGAAGATTCGAAGCCCTCATTAATACTTTGGCGCTTTATCCCAACATTACATGCACTTAAAACAGAAAAAAAACTTGTCTCGTTCATATAGTCGACTCAATGGTGCCAGAAAGGGGGTTGAAAACTCCATAGCATGATTGTAATTGGACTTCTTATATTTCAGAACACTTTTTTTTATGATTTTCCCTAAGGGAAAATAGCCATTTTCGTCCCTAAATTTTTTTTGTCTGTCAATTTAGTCCCTAACTTTTATTTTTAGCCAATTTAATACATGAATTTAATTTTCGGATCCAATTAAGTCCTTCTACGGCGGCGCCGCCACCTAAAAGTAATTTAACTCGTAATTTAACATTAAACAAGGGCATTTTGAGAACTTTGAATTATCTCTTCACCACTACCAGCCTCCACCACCAACCACCCGCTTCCTCTTTCATGATCGGCGATTTTGGATATACCAGCAACACCAGTAATCCAGCGGCGGAGGGATTACTATGGCTCCGCGGCCTAAAATTTGAAAGATTGGAGAAGAAGCCAATGTTTCCCAGCAAGAACAGAGCAATAACAACCACGCATGTCAAAATTATCCATATCCACTGCTGCATTTTTCTTTTACCTTTGTTCCTAAGTGGCGGAGGGATAGATTTTGTCTTGCTTTGCTTCACCACAACTGATGGTTTTTGAGATCTTTTGGTAACGGTAGGAAAACAGTACTTAACCTCAGATTCCTTTATTGTTCCAGGTACGATTTCAGATTTTGGAGTGCATTCCCCAATATCGTTTCCATCGGGAACTTCTGCTCCACCGGCCTTCTTTCTCTCCTTCTTCCTCAACCTCTTCTCCCTTTCCTAGACAAATCAAATGGACGTCATTGATGGAAAGCCAAGTGAAGAAAAGCACACTTACTCAGGCACATGAATTGGAAATTCAAAATTTCTTACCTTGTCTCTGAGCTCGGCTTCTTTCTGTGCTCGTAATTCAGCCCTCATTTGCGCTTTCTCTGCGATCCTCTTTTTCCTCTCCAGTGCCTGCAGAGCCTTAGCTTTCTCCTCTAGTCGCCGTTGCTCCCTCAACTTGGCTGCTGCCTCTGCCTTCGTTAACTCTTCAGCCTTCCTTGAGATGCTCTGATTTTGTCTTATTGTGTCAGTGAGTCTGGAAGAGGGAATTCCTATTTCTACTCTAAACATGCATGCCTAAGGTGGCTGGGCTTCTCTTTCAAACATGGGATTCCACTCTTGGAGACTTGAGGCTTTTGTGATTTTTACCGCCATGGAAAAACTTTGGTACTATAGTTGTTATGGTTGACAATTTGCAGAATGGGTGGGGCCTGCATTTTTCATTGTTTGGGCTTTTGAATAATTGGGTTGGTGAAATTATGGGTTTGATGCAAATTTCGCAGGTGGAAGGTTAGTTTTCTTGGGGTAGTTGAGGCGGTGGTTGTGGCTGTGGTAGTGGTGAGAGGGGCAGCTGCTGGGGTGGCAGTGGTGGTGGTGGTTCATCTTCATTGGTGGGGTCTTGAGATTGCAGGGGCCTCGCCAGGGTTGCCAAATTGTTGCCAAATTGCCAAAGTGTGGATTACTGGTGTTGCTGGCATTCCAAAATCGCCGATCATGAAGGAGGAGGCGGGTGGTTGTTGGCGGAGGCTGGTAGTGGAGAGGAGATAATTCAAAGTTCCCAAAATACCCTTGTTTAATGTTAAATTAGAAGGATTTAATTGAATCCGAAAATTAAATTCATGTATTATATTGGCTAAAAATAAAAGTTAGGGACTAAATTGACGGACAAAAAAGTTTAGGGACGAAAATGGCCATTTTCCCTTTCCCTAAACAAATACTATTTTTTTTCAAATAATGAGAAAAAACAAACAAACTCTCTTACGCTTCATTTGGATTGAGAGATTTCATGAAAGATTTGAAATTATCTTAAATCGCTCTAATTGTTTAAATTATTTAAGATGCATTTGAACTTGTGAATCACAAATTATTATAGTGTTTAAAATGTATTTTGATAATTGATTTATTATACATTCAAATGATTTTTAAATAATTTAAACAACAACAGCGATTAGATGAATTTTAAATC